CCACGGGACATCCATTAGAACATTAAGCGATGCAAAAAAGGTCATAAATATCCCTTAAACTTGGTTTCATATAATATCACATTACATGCTACCTGATGATAATATCTTAATTGACTATCAGAGAGCGGTTAACGCCAATAATATCAGGAGTGACCAGCGAATATATGGAATGTAGGACCCAGTGATTCATCTTTATTAATAAATAGTGTGAGTTTAAGACTGAGTTAGTTTCAATAAATACAAATGGTTTAAACTAATTTTGTTATTAGTCCAGCAAGCATCAAGAGAATGGTTTAACAACATATCACAATTTTCATAAATAATTCTAAAAATCTGTCGAACTAGATCTACATCACAAGATTATTATACAATTTATTTCAATTTCACCGTAAGAGACAAGTTGTAACGGCTGTTTTCATTGGTTGATTCTCTAGAGAGAAACATTATCTGTGCCCTCCAGAGCTTTCTGATTGGTGGCGGTTTTACTTCCGGCTATACTGCCAGTTCGTGACTTCTGATAAGACTGGTAGAGTTTCATTACGTTTTCACTGGTCAAGCATTTTACATCACGACTGAAATTTAAATAAAATGAATAACTACATTGAGTTTTGCGTCCTTCCGTTCTGTAGAAAAATGATATGAAACAGAGTTTTATGCCCTAAATTCATGTACCAGATAAACAACGTCATGCATTTGCAAAAAGATCGTCTTTGACAGACTACTTAGCATGGTAATACTTAGACCATAGACAAGAGGGTCTGTCATACGTTACCATTTTTTGACCAATATCTGGTTCATCTGAACCTCCTCCCTTCCAAACTAATTATGGTTTCCAAAACACACACCCCACACTGACTACTGTACTGTACTCGATAATTTATGTAGCAGCTAACCAGGGGAAGGTGCTCCACGGGAGATAATCAATATTTAGAAAATTTCACTCACTTTTTAATATCGTCTTGAGTCATGTATTCGACCTCGCCGCCCTTCACTCGTCTGAACGTACCATTCTTAGAGATAACTCCAATCACCTTAGCTCCATCACCATTTTTGGTCTCGGAGTGAGTTTTTGACACGTTGCCACTCTCGTCAGTGACTGTTCTAGTCTCTCGAGTGGCTTCGTAGATGACTTTCGACGACATGGGTTTGGCAACCGTCTGACCTTCGTTGGCGACAGTGGAAGACATACTCATTTCTGATATCTCGTTCATTCCTGAGTTGTGTTTGGAGTTTAACTCGGCGTTCTGTGAGCCAGTAAGGCCGCTTGTGCTGATAAGAAGC